AGACCAGGCGTCTCTAGGTCTCGGACCAGAGACCAGGCGTCTCTAGGAGTCGGACCAGAGACCAGGCGTCTCCAGGAGTCGGACCAGAGACCAGGCGACTCCAGGTCTCGGACCAGAGACCAGGCGACTCCAGGTCTCGGACCAGAGACCAGGCGACTCCAGGTCTCGGACCCGAGACCAGGCGACTCCAGGACTCGGACCCGAGACCAGGCGACTCCAGGACTCGTACCCGAGACCAGGCGTCTCTAGGTCTCGGACCCGAGACCAGGCGTCTCTAGGACCCGTACCTGAGAGGAGGTGTCTCTAGGACCTGTACCTGAGATGAGGTGTTTCTCAGACAGCATGATCTTGGTGACGGGGCTGCGGTGGACGGAGAAGGTCTGGAAGAGCTGCGGTCCTGAGCCGACCGTCTCTGGATGCTGAACGATGACTCGAACCGCCCCTGAGCTGGTCCCGTACGCGATCTCGATCCAGTTCCCGCTGTCACCTGACCACAGGACCAGAACGTTTCAGCCTCAGGTTTAACACATAGTAATAGTAGTAGTAGTAGTAGTGGTGGTAGTAGCAGTAGTAGCAGCAGTAGCAGTAGTAGTAGCAGTAGCATTAGTAGTAGTAGTAGCATTAGTAGTAGTAGTAGCAGTAGTAACAGCGGCAGCAGCAGAAGTAGCAATAGTAGTAGCAGCAGTAGTAGTAGCAGCATTAGTAGTAGTAGTAGCAGTAGTAGTAACAGCGGCAGCAGCAGTAGTAGTAGCAGTATTAACAGCGGCAGCAGCAGAAGTAGCAATAGTAGTAGCAGCAGTAGTAGTAGCAGCATTAGTAGTAGTAGTAGCAGTAGTAACAGCGGCAGCAGCAGTAGTAGTAGCAGTATTAACAGCGGCAGCAGCAGAAGTAGCAATAGTAGTAGCAGCAGTAGTAGTAGCAGCATTAGTAGTAGTAGTAGCAGTATCATTAGTAATAGCAGCAGTAGTAGCAGTATTACATTACAGTCATTTTAGCAGACGCTTTTATCCAAAGCGACTTACAATTCAGATTCTATCACATTTCTACACCGTAGGCACAGCTACGGGAGCCATTTTGGGGTTAAGTGTCTTGCTCAAGGACACATCGACATGCGACTAGCAGAGCCGGAGCCGGGGATTGAACCGCCGACCCTCTGATTGAAAGACGGCCCTGCTACGTAGCACATAGCTAGTAGCAGTAGTAGCAGCAGTAATAGCAGTAGGAGTAGTATAAGTGTCATAGTTCCGTACTGGTTTTGGGAGTGAGGTAGACACTGAGAGCAGTGATGGCGTCTTCAGTTGGGTCTCTGTACAACTCCGTCACCAGCAGGTCATTGTCCTTCATCCTCAGAGGAAACTTCTGCACATCTGACAAACAAACAAACATCTCAGCTCAGACATGTCCTAAATGGCTCCTAATTGGTTCCTACACACTAGGTGACTCACCTATATAGTAGATGGATCCGTTGTTGCAGCCCAGGATGAGGAAGGAGCCGGCGGTGTCGTAGCTGCTGATGGGAACGACGTCCTGATTCTGCACACAGAGAACGTCACACAGTAATTATCATTACAGGAAAATAGAAGATGCTGATTATCTTCATTTTATATGGTTTGGTTTCCAAACATGGACACCACGAAAATACCTGATGCTGCAGAAACTGAGCTCAAACACAAAGGAACAATAGCAGAGATACCTCATAACACTTCCAGTTAATTGGCGAGCAAACTTAAGGAGCACTTTTGAAATGTTGCACAAAAACAAAAATGCGACAGAGATGCAGAGCTTTAGAAACACGCTGAGGGACAATATGACAGACGTTGGCGCTGTAGGCTCTGATGCCCCCCCAGAAATCTGGTTCTAAAAGGGAACCTGTTCTAAATGAGTAGAACCCGTTAGTATTGATGAAGTCCTGAGATATCGGTTCTGCTATCGGTACTTTAGAAGTTCCGGAGAGCGACGTCCTCGTCTCAAACGTCCTCTGTCTGTCTCTTTGTGCTTTAAAGAAATGTTGATTATTTTCTTAATTAAGAAATTTACTCACAAAATAATCAACTAGAACCGATAAGAGTACTAGAACCCATATAACGGTTCCCATCCTTACATGTCTGTATTCTACCAGTAAACAGAGCAGAAGAAGAAGTAGAGAGTCTTCTTCAAATTGAGCATAAACATATGTTTCTGGAGACACGGCTAATGTTTCTGTTTGCTTTAACTTGCTGCAGATTACATGACAGAAAGCCCGTTGTTCTCCAGGAGGAACCCGGTTCCTCTGGTCCACTTCATGGTAACAGAACCCTGGTTTCTGTATCTCGTTGACTTGAGTGCATTTAAACCCACTGAGGGATTGTTTCCTGTGATTAAAGTTAAATTCATGGTCATGGACGACAGCAGCAACGGGACTGAAAGCAGTAAATTAATGCGACGTCCGGCGAGTCTCCGCCCACCTGCCAGTGTTTGGTGACGGCATTCCAAACCCCGACCTTCCCCGTGTGGCTGGTGGCGATCAGCTGGTTACCAACGAAGAAGAGCGCCTCCACCGGCACGTTGAGACTGAAGACGCCTGCAGGAAGAAAACACACAAAGCGTCAGAGATGTGGTTAGTTTTCTCAGGATGCTTTTGGGAATCAAAACATGAATTTAAGGATACTTTCTCTTCAGGAAGTAGAAGTTTCGCACCGATTTCGTTCCCGTTGCCGTCGGGACAGATGGCCCACAGGATGATCTCCGTCCCAGAGGCCACGGCCACCATCTTGTCGTTGTCTCCCAGAGAGCCGGCCATCACTTTGGCATTCAGGGCGACTCGGTCGATCACCCAGTCCAGACGGGGGGAGGTGAAGACCTGCTGCCACCCGGTGGACTCCTTAACCCTGGGGGTGGGGGGGACGGGGGGTTATTTGTATTAAGCTCAAAAAACATAAACAAAAGTTCTCTAATAAAAAACATAGAACGCATATTGAGTATATTTGTTCCCGTGTTTACCTGTAGCAGACGACAAACTGTGCGTAAGCCACAGCGATCCAGTTGTGATGACCACAGATGATCCGAACCATACCGGTATCTGACAACTGACCTACACACACACACACACACTCTTTAAATATAGATGTTACGTATATATATATATATTTATATATATATTTATATATATATATATATATATATATATACACACAGTATGTGTGTGTGTCTGTGTGTCTGGTTGTGTCTCTCTACCTCCGGGTGTCCTCTCCTCGGTGCTTCCTCTCAGTATGCCAGAGTTCCCCAGGTTTGGAGGCATCGTGTTGCTCCGTCTGACCGGAGCCACCCGACCCGCCATGAACTGAGACCCGGCCACGCTGTGACGGTTACGCCGCTTCGCCGGGTACACTGAGAGCACCCGGGACAGGAAGTAGAGGACACACGGGACAGGAAGTAGAGACCACACGGGACAGGAAGTAGAGGCCACACGGGACAGGAAGTAGAGGCCACACGGGACAGGAAGTAGATGACACACAGAACAGGAAGTAGAGTACACAGAGGTTGAGACAGGAAGTAGGGGACACAGAGGGTGAGACAGGAAGTAGAGGACACAGAGGGTGAGACAGAAGATACATTACTTAGTTTTAAGGTGATTTAACGGCGTGATTTAATAGAAGCACATTTAATATCTGTTTGATGTTATAAGTAAGAACACTAGTGAGGACCATTTGGCCCAGAATTATTTTCACCAAAATGCATGAAGACATTTATATCACATTTTAGCATAAATATATAACAATAATTAATATTAATATGAATAAATAAACACGACCTGGTCCTGGGTTAGCAACCTACAATAGATGAGTTAAAGAAGAATTACCAAAAATTCAAAATAAATAAATTATAGACGAATTACTCAAATATAAAATAAAAAAGGATAGATGAATAAAGAATTACCAAAATAATAAATAACTGTTTTATTTAAGGTTCACATGTTCTTCACCCTGTGTATATTATGTATATTACTGTGTATATTATGTATATTACTGTGTATATTACTGTGTACCTGGTGGAGGCAGGTATCCGTTGAACAGCACGTTTCCACAGGACGATCGGTCCAACTCGTCACACAGCTGCAGCTTACGCACTGATAACAAAACACAAGTATTCATCAGACATCACAGCAGAGACCACAGCAACATATATCTATATATATATTATAGTGAGGGGACAACATTTAACACAAAGTCAGTTAAGGCTGAACCTCAACAGATCAGAGGTCTTTAAAACAGACTCAACATGTACAAATTAGCAGTGTGATGCGTTCACTGACACACAGCAGCTCTCTCCACTCACCCAG